AAATTTTAATTTTAAAAAGTAAAAAATAACAATTATTTTAAAACAATTTAAAAGATTTTTAAGAATTTTGAAAATCTATTAAGTATTTATTTATAATTTATTAAAAATTTTAACAATTTTTATAAAATAAAAAAATAATTAAAATAAATTAGTTTTTGATGTATTTCATTTTTCCTTCCTAAAACTGTCTTAAGCTATTTTTGGAGAATTTTATTTACGATTTCTTATACTCCTATTTCTGTAATTATTTCCCTTAATTTGAACCAGCCAAAGCCGCGAATTAAATTCTACCAACCAAAATTTCGTTTTGCCCAATCGTCGTCGTCATGTTCTACTTTTAGTCAAAAGTGAGTTAGAAGCATCTACCCGTCTCCAACGCAAATTATCTTTGGAAGGCTGGATGCCTTTATACGCACTCGACCCACACCATAAATTTTGGGTTAGAAAGGACATAGATGGCTTTATCAGGAAATAGATAGAACCATATACTTCTTCGGTTCTTCCTCTAAAGTCCGACGCCGAGCTAAAAGGACCACTGACACGGTGACACCCCTTTCCATCTCATTATAACAATGTTAGGCCGAATGAATTAAATAATTCCCACTTATTCATATAGTGCCATGTCGATGCATCCCTCCTCCTCCAACTGAGAGGAATAGGAGTTATCAAATGAGCTTCATGAGGATTGAACAACTCCACCAATTCCCTATTCCAACCATGATGATCCTCATCAATAAGTTCACTAAGGTTTAGAGACATGAATTTGTATTTAAAATATGTATTTTAAATACATATATTTAAAATACATACATTTAACATACATATATTTTAAAATATATTATTTGGATTGAATAAAAAAATAAATTTAAAAAAACATGTATTTTTAAATACATTATTTGAATATATTAAAATACTATACATTTAAAATTAAATTTTTTCTATTAAATTAAATCTTCTTCATATTATTATTTAAATTTAATAAGACCAAAATTAATAATTTTAATCTTCTAAAATATTATTTAAATTATCTCAAGACAACCAAATTGGATTAAAAAAAAAAGGGGAACAATTACCCTTACTAATCAATTTGTCTTCATGTTCTCCACTTTTTGTTCATTTTTTCCATTGTTATATAATATTTAATTTTTACAAGGATGGATTTATAATGGAAGAATTTTACAATAAAAAATAAAGCAACAAAGTAACATTTAGAATGATTATCAACTATATGTGTGTCTGGGATTGCGATTAAGAGTTTTTTTCGTGTAATTGAACAATACTTTTAAATATATGTATAATTAATAATTTTTTTTCAGATTACTTTTGCTAAAATCTATATAAAGCCATAGTAGATCTACAGTAATTTTATCTATAAAACTAGAAACCTCATTTTTTTTTAACTTTTTGACTCTAACTTTTATAGAAAACACATAATATTTAATATAATTACAAAATTATCCATTATAACTCAATTTCATATAATTTAATTACATCATAATTTATAATATTTTAATAATAAAAACAAACTTTAAAAACCTGAATTATTAAAAAATAATAAATATT